GAAATGTTTGCCAATAGGTGCAAGTTGTTCGTGCCAGATTTCTTAATCTATGAGTAAAGCTATGCAATGGATTATGTTGGAGAGATTTCATGATTCGGCCATGTCCCGTATACTAGATGATATCTGTTTCATTGGACCTCAAAATTCCAAGAAGTGTCAGGTTGATTTTTCTTGTGTTATGTAAATGGATAAACGTTTCCATTAACGCAGTAAAAACCTTTACTCTGACCACTTGTTTAACATAAACAACCTTTACTCTGACCACTTTTGTTTATTTTATCTCATCGAAATAGATTCAATACAAATGAAACCTTGGATAGGCTTTTAGGGTTTAATCTAAAATAAAATTTCAGGCATCTGTCAAACGTGTGTCTAATTTGGTTCAGTTTTATTGTGGGATATGGTTGATTGGGCGAGTAATGACCCACCCACTTATTGTCCATGTGGTTCAAGTATGGTGATTTTGATGACCAAGGTAACTACTTACTCCCTTGTTTCATTAAGTTATCTGCTATTCCAGGTTCTCTGTTCGAACTGGTAATCTCATTGTGCAACCTTAAATTACTCCTAATGTGCCCCCTAGTCGTGCGATTCCCAGATTATAACTTACTTTGATGTGTTTAGGATCTTATTATTTTTTTACTATTAAAAGTGATAATTTTCAGTCACATGCACTTTACCTCATTTGCCTTTGAGCAAAAACAGAGCTGCGTTGTGCTAATGATCATTTGGCTACATAAAACCGCAATTTAGATAATTGTGTTTATGTAGGGAATGTCTACATCAGTGAGATTTAAGTCATCCAGCTTTTTAGCTGCTTGATATTTAACCGCATTGTTACGTAGTGCAGTTTAAGCAGCTACACTGGAAGATTACTTGCTTCATTATTTCATTTTTATTTGGACACATTCCACCTTCCCCCATCACCCGCCTTAGTCCTTGTGTTTTTCTCTATTTTTTTCTCTTTTTTTTTTACTAACCAGAGTCTCTATTTCTGCGCCAATAACTATTGTGATTTCATATATATTTGTACCACCAGCGTTAGCGCTGGCGGTACACATGGTTTCGGTCCCGTCCAGATCGTTCCGCCGACTCTGCCGATTCCGCCGGCTCCGCCGGACGGCTACCGTTACCGCTTCTTCTCCTAGACCGTAAGGGCCCCCATACCCATCTCTTGGATTTAGGTCACCTATAATCTCAACTCGTTCCACGTAAAGTTTGGGCTTTGTCGGTATTGGGGTCTGGGTGTGGCACTCACTGCAATGCACCCTTGTCCAAAAATGGCAAAATTAAATGCTAATTATCTACCCTACGGAAGGGGTTATGGGAAAAATTTCTACAGACGGCTTTCCAAAAGCCAAATGTGTAGATTTCAAATATGCCCTTGGATTTGACCTTTGACCTTTACTTCAAGGTCAAACGGGCCAAAATTTTCAAAAAAATAAATTTTTTTACGAAAAAAATTTTTTTTGCCCTGTTATTCAGACACCACACATACTTAACCAATAATATTATTGGAGAGTGTTACCCTTCAGGTCATCTTTCATCTCCGTGAATTTGGGGTCAATCGGTGCATTTTCACGGGAGTAGCGGCCATAAGATACCGAAACTGAAAACTGTCTCTAATTCGGGAACCGTTAATGCTAGAGACCCATTCTTTTTTGCATTTTGTAGAGCATGTAAAGCCCAACACTGG